ATTATAATATTATTATAATATCATATTATATGATAAAATAATAATATTAGTGTTATTAATATAATTATGATATTATTTGTTACAATATTACTATTATATTATATTATATTATATTATATTATAATACAAGTCTGAATTTTAGATTAGAAAGATTGTAAATTTTAAATTTTATTAGGAGTATTATGGATATTATCAAAGTTTCATTAATTGTACTATACTGATTCCCGCACAATCTAAAAGCTAAAGTTGTCTTTAGGCTGATTCTGATTTTGACTGTAAATTCTTAAAAAAATATTCAAAAATCACTTTTGAGGAGATTTACCAAACACAGCTTCTGCTACAAGCAGAAATTGATTTTGGAGGGGAAAAGCAATATCAAACTAGGCCTTTGACCTAGTGATTTGAGGCAACAAAATCACAAGCACAATCGACTGGATTCAAGGAGAGCTAAGAGATCTGATTTTGTTTTGTTTTTTTGTTTTGTTTTTTTTTTTTATGACAGAAGAATAGGAGAGATATGATGGCCTTTGATATGAATGATTAGCCTTATATATAACTGCTTTAGAAGTTTGGAGTCTGTGTCTGACAAAACCTCCTCAGACTCGAACTGAAATCTCCATCAAACAAATTTGCTTTCCTCGTATGGGTCGGTGTAAAAGTTTTTGGGTGATTTATCCGATTATTGGTGGCCCAGAGTTTACTGTTTCAGGTCTTATGCGTTTAGGTCCAACTCAAGTATTGCAAGTGAGTGACTTTAGAGAAATCTTGAAAAAAAACAAAAAAAAGTAAATGCTATTCGTTTTGAAAACAATTTAGGTGCGTTCTTTTAGAGTGTGATTTGAGTGTAATTTTTTAGTTAAATTTAAATTATAATTTAAAATTAAACTATAACTTGAGTTTGTGTTTGATTGTATATATTTAAGTTATGATTTGAGATAATAATATTTTTAAGTTTGTATTTAGGGGTATAATAACTTAAGTTGTGAATAGTAGAGTGAGAAAATAACATATATTTTTTATTTGAATTTATTTAGTTTTAAAAAATTTAAAAAAAATCACATAACTTGAGATAGTGTTGATTTGCTCTTCAACATAAAAAAATAAAAATAAAAACGTAAAATAAACAACTCTCTCCTCTCTTCTCTCTCTTCTCGACATTCTCTCCTCTTCTCTCTCTGGCGAGCACAGGTTCGGCAAGTCCATACCCCCGTGCTCTTCTCTTTCTCAGCCAACTTGCTCTCTCTCTTTTCTCTTTCTCTCTTGAATAACTCCCTCTCTCTCTTCTATCTCCGGTGAGCCCAGCCCCAGCCCAGGTCCGGCGAGCCTAGGTTTGGCAAGTCCATCGCGATCCTACCCGGCCCCAAATTGAGCCCCGGCATAGCCCCGTCGCAACCCTGACCCCATCCGTCCCGAGCCGCCCAGCACCAAACCCATCCCCTTTGCGGAACTTCGAAGACCAAGCGTGAGTTAA